TTTCATAAAAATTAAACATTTTATTACAATATGTATTATTTATTATACATAATATTGCATAGAATATTTGTTCATTTGTTGTATATAAAATAATAATAATAGATAAACAAAAAGAAAAGATACAATCTATAACAATGTCACAACAGAATCTGATTTTGCATTTTCTCACGTCATGTGTTTTTTGTATCACTTGTTTCACATTTCTGTTAGAAATGAGTGTCTGAAAGCTAACAATGCTTATGCTGAAGGAAAAATACAAATTTGTTTCTGAATTTGTAAGAAAACTTTGCAAGCTGAATTTGCAAAACAAAAAACCTTCCAAGAACAACATTGATGGGAATTCTGAAAAAAAAGGAGGAAATTAAGAAACTTTCTTGGATCATCTTCACAGCTGTCTCAAAAATGTCAGAGAAAGTCGCCATACAAAGATGTCAAAGATGTCCTGGCACATTGGCTAAAGCAAATTCATTCATCAAATCTTCCAGTTTCAGGACTGATACTGAAACAGAAGGAGATGGAAATCGCTGGGGTACTTGGAGTAGAAACCAACTTTAGTGCCAATGATGGATGGTTAGAGAGATTTAAAAACCGCCACAGCGCGACTTTTAAAAAACTGTGTGGAGAAAAAGAATTGTCGATATGACCTCAGTTGGAACTTGGAAAGAGACAGTTTTAAAAGAGATTGAAAATGTTTTTTGGCTTATATGATTTCTCAATCTTGATGAAACTGGACTTTTCTACAAATTGCTTCCAGAGAAAATAACTATGTTTAAAAACAACAGTTGTCACAATGGAAGCAAATCAAAGTTGCAAGATACAATCCTTCTTGGAGTAAATTCTGATGATTGGGAAAAGCTGAAGTCCTTAGTTATAGGAAAATCTCGACAACCCTGCTGTTTCAAGGGTGTGAAGAGTTTGCCCATAATATGCAAGGCAAATTTGAAAAGTTGGACGACTTCCAAAATTTGGGAGGAAATTCTTCACAAATATGACTCCCAATTTGTTCAACAAAAAAAGGAATGTAGCATTCATTGTTGACAACTGTCCTGCTCATGGATACACTGAAGGACTACAAGCAATTAACCACTCAGCAGTGAGGGACATATATATACGTCAAATTCTTTTGGGGGTATCGCCAAAAACTACCGCAAAAAAAAAATTACATAAAAAGTGAATTATGTAACAATAAAAAAGACTTTTCTTTACTAAACATAACTGTTTACAAAATCTTTTTCCAAAATAGTAATGAAAAAAAAACCCATAAAAAAATACTATAAAAATTTTGCATGTTTATTCTCCACTACTAAGGGATAGCACCATACCCAATTATTCCACTGTTGAAAGGTTAATGTGTTTACCCTACCGCCAAATGCCACTGCTGTAGTGCAACTGTTGGATCAGGGGTATTATTCATTCATTCAAACGTCATTATCGGAAGAAACTTATTTTGGATTTGATTCATGTAGTAGAAAGTGGAAAATTGATTGATATTTCCCTGTTAGATGCGATTCATTATGTAAAGGTTGCATGGGAAAACGTAACATGCTTAACCATTGCAAACTGCTTTAAACATGCAGGATTTCATTCTACAGTGGCAGTTCATGATGAAGAGAGGAGTGAAGAACAGAACTCAATTGGATGAACTGTTGTGACATTGTCGCTATCTACGAGAAACTGCCTCTGTTGATGAAACAGACTACAGCACAGTGGACGATTGCATGGAGGTGAGCTACTCAGCAAATGTTGTTGATATTGTTGCAGAAATTCAGGACAAGAATGACGAACCTGGAGGATTTGAGTCCGCTTAAGTTGACGCCCCAATGGAAAATGGAAATGTGTCAAGTTATTCGATATGACAACTAAAGTGAAGTTGAAAAAAACCACAAAACTATAATTAAGAAAATACAGTAGTATATGCTTACAATACATTGTGTACTCCATTTACAATAGTTTTTTAGACTATAAACTGAAAAATTCATTTAGTGTTGTTTGTTTTGAGCACTTAACTGTCTCTACTTTCTTTTCAACGATCATGAATGCCTTGAAAACATCATCTTTGCAATTGTCAATAGTTGGCAAGTAACATCTAAGGATTCTTAATGCTGCTAGTGCATTGGTTTTGGGATTAGCTCTTCTAATGTTTCATTCTCTTCACCGTATATATCAAGGGTGGCCAAGCTCCTCGATAGTCCAAGCCATTTTTCAAAATTTGAAATTTTTCGCGAGCCGCAATTAAATACGTATTAAAAAGGTATGCAAAAAATTCCAGAATACAAATTATATCCGTAGCAAGAGTGATACAAATTGTTTCCTCCAGAGCACAATGTCAACTGTCCATTGCAATGACAGTTTACAAATTCAAAATCGGTCTGGAGTCGGTCGATAATGGACGATTACGCCACTGTTTATGTTCGTTCGCGCAGTTTTCGATGAGTCATATCATTCTTAACTTGGACGGAAATGAAATTTGTTACAACGTTGCACTTAGTCTTT